TTATATATTTTATCTGCTTAATGCTTGTCTTTGGTAATGTCCAGAAAAACGGGAACTTTGTTTTGCTCACTGTCATAGTCCCATCTCTTAGGACAGTACTTGGCACACAGTAGGAGCTAAAAGATATTCGTTGCTTGAATGAACATGCCTTTTGGAAGGCATTAGCCAAAGTTGAAACTATGAGAATGAGAAAGCTCACCTAGGTAGAAGGTGATGGATAAAAGGGCGAAGAGCCAGGGACAGACCCTGTATTAAACGTACATGGACATTAACAGAATAACAAAAGCAGGAAATAGAGCAGAATGCTAGAGCCACATCCAGTGCAACAGCATCATAGAAACCCACAGGGGAGAGATTTTCAGAAAGGGAGGAGAAACCCACAGTTAACAGCAGAGATAATGTAAGATGAAAGACTGAAAAGTCTATAAAACTTGTCAATTAGTAGATTTGCCATTGATGACTGTGGTAAAAGAAAGATGTCCTGAGTAGCAGGCTGATTGCTATGGAATGAGTGGTAAATGGTGGATGAAAAGGTGGGAAAAAACTGAGTGTAGACTGTTTAAGGATTTGGCTCAAAAGGAAAGGCCGGAGTGGAAGGTAGGTCAAGAGAAAGTGTTTATTTCTCCTTCCTGCTGTCTTTCTCCTCTCTGTGTCTGTGTTATGTGTATGTAAGATCAGAGCATTATTGTATGATATAGAAAAGTGGTCTGTGAAGAGGTGTTGAATATACAGGATTGTGTAATAATAACCAAAGGGCAAGGTCATGATCCTAGAGGAGCTGAAGGGATAGAATCAAGCGTAGGATGGATGACCCCCTTACCCACTGAGACCAGAAGGAAAGATATGAGGGGAGCTAGTTTAGAGGACTGGGCTGAAAATTGAGGGGGTTCATGTACGAGAGCCTCCATTTGTACTGGAGGTGATCTGGAGCAAAGTCATCCAGTGATAGAGCAGGAGTGGGGTAAGAAGTATATGAGCAATGGCAAAGGCTTGGAGTCATTGCTGTGGGAAATAGACTTGAGCAATGGCATCCAATGGACCCAAATTGGGCATAATGGTAAAAGACTTTGGGATATGGGAATGTTATATTCATTCTATCACATGCTTCTAGCTCACTACTCCTTATTCTGTTCTTCAAAAGATTTTCTCCTCCTTGTCATAGGCGCGCTTTCTCTCTCTCTCTCTCTCTCTCTTTCTCTCTCTCTCTCCCTCCCTCCCTCCTGGCTGTTTTCTGAGGCTGGAATGCTGGAAGGAGCAGCTGTGAATTAAAATACACTCCCACAGGAGGCAAGCAAGGATGGGAGGTGGTCATGTGGACCCAGTTAATTACCAGAAGAACAGTGGGCTCTAGTCATCATAACAGGCAGCAGGGTGGAAAACACATTAGTCAGACCCAGGAGCTCTCTGGTTAATTAACTTTAGGAACCCAAGGAATGGACTCAACAAATAACCCATTAAGTCCTTTTGGTTTGTATAACAAAAACCCAGGCTGGGCAGTGACTCACACCTGTAAACCCAGCTCTTTGGGAGGCCAAGGTGGGAGCATTGCTTCAGTCTAGGAGTTTGAGACTAGCATCAGCAACCTAGCAAGACCTCTACCTCCTCCTACAAAAAAAAGTTAAAAAAAAATTAGCTGAGTATGGTGGAACATGCACTACTAGCTACTCAGGAGGCTGAGGAGGGAGGACTGCTTAAGCCTAGGAGTTGAGGTCTTCAGGGAGCCATGATCATGCCACTCTTGATCCTAGGAGTTCAAGATTTCAGTGAGCTATGATCATGCCACTGTATTCCAGCCTGGGCAACAGAGTGAGAGCCTGTCTCTAAAAAAAAACAAAAACAAAAACAAAAACAAAAACAAAAAACAACCCACAAAACACAGCTTTAGGTCTGGGGAACAGAGGCGTCTCATGAACAAGAGAGATACAACTTGTCACCCCTTTACCATCACTAAATCAGATCTCAGATCTACAGCCTTTTGAGCATTGTCCAGATCTATCTATCTCTCTCTCTCTCTGTCGCCTAGGCTGGACTGCAGTGACAGGATCTTGGCTCACTGCCACCTCCACCTCCCGGGTTCAAGCGTTTCTTCTGCCTCAGCCTCCAAGTAGCTTGGACTACAGGGGCTTGCCACCATACCTGGCTAATTTTTTAAAATATTTTTAGTAGAGATGGAGTTTCACCGTCCTAGCCAGGATGGTGTTGATCTCCTGACCTTGTGAGCTGCCTGCCTTGGCCTCCCAAAGTGCTGGGATTACAGGCATGAGCCACCGCACCCGGCCAGCCCAAATATTCTTGAAGAAGGATGCTGTGGAAATACTGTACCTAAGACTTCATGCAAACTTTCATCTTCCTAAGGACTTTGTGCTCTGTTATAGAAAACTGCTGTAGGGAAAAGGAAATACCCAAACTTTTTAGTGACTATCATATGCAAATCCCAAACTAACACTAATTTCTGGGACCCCAAATGTTGCTGTTTGCCAGCAACATTTTGAACTTACAGAGGGTTGGGTGACACATTAACTGGATTCTGGCCCAGGTTCGCCTTTGGGCAAGGGTAGTGGAACTGTGAATTCATCCTGTGGTTAGGGACTCTAGTTGCCAAGTGAATAGCTGGAATAGGTCATCTTAGCAACTGGCAGAATTACTACATTGGTACACTCACCCATGGAGTAAGGGCTATTCCTATGGGAAGTACCAGGTGGGGTGCCAAAACAGTACACCAAAAGCAGTAGCACATTCTTGGAAAATTGCAGAGGTATTACCATCAAAGGAGAGGAAGATGCTACTGTGATGGTTCCCACCTCATTCCCATTCACTTCACAGCTGCCACAGATGACTGATGGGTCTTGGTTACCACAAACCCAATCAAGTGTGGACTCTAAGGGTAGCTGTTCCCCAATGGAGTCTTTCTAAAGAAGCAACTTCACACAGCCTCTGACACTTGGTTTGCAGTTATTGATCTGGGATTTAGCTCCAGAATATCTTTGTAAAAACTCTTTTTTATATTATGCACCAATAACTTTGATTCAATAATAGATTTTATGTTTTTATTGCCTATCACTCTTTCTTATATCCTGGTTCATATCTGTCTATCAGTTTCTTCACTTTACAATAGGCATCATATTGTTGTACTGGACCGAGCATAGAAAGTCAACACCAAGACAAAAGTATGTCAAATTGCAGGGTCATTTATTGCCGGCGACCACGGAGGACTCGGGTCTCTCCAACCCGTGGCCCCGAGTTCAGGGGGAGCAGGGTTTTTAAGTTGAAAAACCACATCCTGGTTTTAGGGTGAGGGGATGCAGGGCAAGCAACTTTTCAGCACTTATTGATAAGCAAAAGCAAGCACTTTTCATAGAAGCCAAGGTCAGCAGTTATTGCAAAGAGAATGGGGAAGCCGTTACAGCTTATTTTACGAACAGCTTTGTCTTTTATAAAATGGCATTTCTCAGGTTCTAACTTTTAGGCTAGCCATGTTACAATATTTGTACCTTTCTTCAAAGTTATTGGGAAGAAATGAGATAATCTATATCGAGAGCACATAGTATGTGCTCAATGTCTGTTGCTTCATTATCTGAGATAACTGGGGATGAGAATCTGGGACATCTTTTTGTCAATTCATTGTTCATTTTGCAGGAGTCATTTTCAAGTCATTCAGTGGATAAACTTTCTGAATCCTTTCAAGTCTGAGGATGCTTTTATTTTCCTCTCACTTTACTGTTGATTAGTCTAAAGGATTCCAGAGTTAGCCCTGAAGATACTATCATTGAGAAATCCAAGGGCAAACTAATTTCCATTGTTTCATAGGTAACATTTCCATATAAAAATCTCTTGATTCTCTTTCTCCTAGAGTTTACCTAGGAGAGGATCTTTTTCGTTAATTATTCTAAGGACTCTAAGTGGGCCCTTTTAATCTGAAGACGTGATTTGGTGCAAATTTAGGACATTTTCTTCTTTTTAACTCCCCAAACCTCATCATTATTCTTGCTGGTTTTTGTTTCTACAACTTTTGTCATTCACATGTTGCAATGTTTAGATCAATTTTACATGTCTTATAATTTAACTTTTTGCTAATTGCTATTCAGCCCTGCCCATTCTGCTATAAACCAGCCCATAAGTCTTATTTTCTACCTTTCAGGGATTCCTCAATATTCCTGCCTCACTGATGGAACATTTTGTTCCCTTGGCTTAAAAAAAAAGCATTGTGTCATGAGATTTAAGAAAGAAGATAAGGTTGTTGTGTGTCCTCAAGTCTCTTTGTTGATTCAAATTCTGTGGTTATTTTGGTTTGTCTTGCTTTTTACATTAGATTGTACATTTTAAGGTACAAGTCTTATATTATACAATGCCTCTCTATTCTGTATCTCGGAAACAGCTGTTTTCTGGTTTTCAAGGACTTTATAGATCTGGCTCACTCTACCAAACCAACAAATAAATCCAAATAAATCTTTAGCCTCCCAACTCTATCTCCAGTGGCACCTAGAATGTTGTCCACTCATTCAAAAACGTCTCCTAACTCCACCCATTCCTTCATCAGGGAGCCAGTGTTGCGTCTAGCTCTGCAGGGATTCTCAACTAAGAATCAGAATTGTCTGTAATTTTCCTCAAATAAACCCAGACCTACCGAAGGAGAACCTTTGTTTATCACACCTGTGCATCCTTTTCTTCTCTTAAATAGCTCCGCAGGCGATTCTGAGGCCCACGCGTCCTGCTTCCCGCCCAGGGCCAGGCCTGGCCCCCGCCCTGGAGGTGGTTGGATTGGTGCGAGCGCCCCGGGCCCCAGCTCCCGTCTTCGCACCGTTTTGGAGGAGGTAGGCGCAGGTGATCGCGGAAGGCGGTCCGCCTCGGCAGCCGGGCCCACTGGCCCCTGAGACTGGGACGGACCTCACACCTGAACCCCGGTCGGCTAATCCAGCCCAACTGCCCCACGCACCACGTGCCCTCGGGGTTGGAACGCGGTGCGCCGGGAGCCGACTGCCGGCCAGGGGACGCTTGTGCGCAGGCGCGCGGGACGCCGTCGCAGCTCCCTTCCTGCGCCGCTTCCTGCGAGGGCGCCCCAGTCTCTACCCGGCCCGCAACGGTAGCGTTGGCGTCACGGCGCGGTGCGGGCAAGACGAGTGGCTGGCAGCAGGGCGGTGCTGGGCCGAGAAGTGCCTCAGCTGGCGCCTTCGGCTCTTCCTCTTCACCTCTGGTTGCAGAGAGCCGCCAGGGCAAGTGGAAGGGCGACGCGTCGCTCCCGCGAGGGGCACCGAGAGACGTTGGGGGCGGGGCAGGGACCCCAACCCTAGATAGGTTAGGGAACGGGCGAAGAATGGTGGTGGCTTCAGATAAGGGGGAGCAGGGAGCGTCCCCTCGGCTTGGGGTGCAGGAGGTGTGCGGCGGGGGCGCCTTTCCGTGGGGCCCTCGCTCTGCCAGGCGGAGGTGGTGGTGGGATGGCCTCAGTTCCCAGTTGTGGTTCGGGAGGAGCCCGCGAGGGCTTTGGATAGGAAGTTTGCGTTCGAGTCTAGCACCGCGCAGGAACCCCAGTTAACGCCTCCCCCTGGCCGCGGGCAGAGTTCTTGACACCTGTAGCTTTAATCAGCGCCGGTGGAGATTCAGGGCTTGAATCGCCAGGCCACGCGCAAGCTGCAGGGCACCCTCAGTACTGCCTTATCACTCTTAAAATTCGCGTCTGTTATTTGTATCCCACTATTAGTGGTTTAAAATTTTTTTTCTTTTCCATGGGTCTGCCCTCTTTTCCTCATGAGCTACCTTTCTGTCTTCAGTCCTGTAGGGCACAATGTCCGAACAAGAGCGTATACAGGAATGTCTGCGGAAGGAAATAAGATCACTTCTCATTTCCACCAAAGATGGTTTGAGCCCACAGCAGTTGGAGAAGGAGTATCTTTTGATGGTTGGCAACCACCTACCACTCCGGATCCTTGGGTATCGGTCCACTATGGAGCTGGTATCGGACATGCCTGATGTTGTTAGTGTCTGCTCCGGTGCAGGTGGTACCGTAATACTGAAAGGTAGGTTTAAGACTTTTGAAGGTCTATAAACTTTGTAATAAAAACAGCTGCTTAGTAAATAATTATTCTAGTTCTACAGTTATTCCGTATCCCAGCCAGTGGATTTTAATTTGGTGGGGGGAGGGAGAATCTTAGGTGCTTTCGAGATTATGGGTAAAGTTAGAACCTCTGCAAAATTAACAAACCATTCCCAGTGACTGCAATTATGCACTCACAAAAACTGCATTTTACATATGATTTCCGGTTATTGCACCTTCAGTCGGGAGAAACAACAAAAAGGACTTCTTAATTATAAAAACCTGTTTTCAATTCCGTGAAGCACAGGAAAAAACCATTGTAGGGAAGTCTGTAGTTCTTCCCAAGAATTTCAAATCTGTCGGGAGTCAATTGTAATGATAATACATTGAGTTATCTTTTCTTCACCTGGTAGAAGAGCTAGCAAGATGTTGCCCAAAATGCAAGAAATCGAGGAACCAAGAGTTACTGTTGTTTATCGTGCTGCCTGGATAAACAGCTATTTGGAGGGTTAAGAACTGTGTAAGCACAGATACTAAGGAGACAGAAGGGAGTAAGGTTTCCACCTAAATGTGTGTGTGTGGTTTTTTTTTCACGTCTCCTTAGCCATTCCAGATGAATCTACCAAAGGAATAGCCAGCTTAGTTGCAAAACAGAAGAGCAACCATAAGGTTCGAAACTACACGCATAAGGGAAGGCCCAGTTTTTATTCTGGACCAAGCTCTCATCGGCGAGTACCTTACCGAGGACGGGTTGCCCCTATTCTTCCAGCTGTTGTGAAGAGTGAGTTGAAGGATCTGTTGGCGTTATCTCCTGTTCTCCTTTCTGATTTTGAAAAGGCATTTGCCAAAAGATTTGGACGATCATTCCAATACATGCAATATGGATTTCTCTCTATGTTTGAAGTGCTGAATGCGGCTTCAGATGTCATTTCTGTAGAGCAGACCAGAGCAGGTTCCTTGTTGATGCTAAAGAAGAGTGTAATGGAGGAAAAGTGGAGAGGATGGCCGGCAGGTATGCATGTGGGCAAATATTGGAGCATTCCTGGCACAAAGAGGGGTGTGTAATGGCTAAGGTCCGTGAGTTTAAGTTGAAGCCTGGCTCTACTACTTGCTAGTTGAGTGGTCTCAGGCCAACTGTTTAAGCCTGATTTTCTCATCTCTAAAATAGAAATAACAATATTTGCTTCTTGGGGTTGTGTTGAGGACCTTACATGAGGTGAGTTCTGTAAAGTGCTTGGCATTTAGTAAGCTCATAATTAGCGTTAGCTGTTATTTTTAAAACCACAAGATCTGCTCTCTCTAGAACACTGTAAATTTACATGAATAGTTGTATTCATGCAAAGAAGCTATAAGTAAAATGAAAAGTTAAAATACTTAAAAAAATTATTAACGTTAACCCATCTAATCTTTGCTATTACTGGGCTTTTGTGGTGTAATGATAGCCACCTTATCTGTATACCATTTAACCTTGCATTCTCATTACTATATTAGGTAGGGTGAATAAACCCTGTCTTATGGATAAGAAAACCAAAGCTCAGGAAAATTAAATGGCTTTTCCAAAGTCAAATGGCTGGAAAAGTGGTAGTGATACAGCTAGAGTTAGTTCCCAGCTCTTATTGCTGCCCATCCAGTGCTTTTCTGCCCAAATGCTATATCTATTAAAGGCTCAAAAGACATACTGAATACTCAAAAGACTGACATGACCATCTACATAGTAACTCCCTAGACCAGGCGTTCCCAAACTTTTTACACAGGGGGCCAGTTCAGTGTCCCTCAGACTGTTGGAGGGCCGCCACATACTGTGCTCCTCTCACTGACCACCAATGAAAGAGGTGCCCCTTCCTGAAGTGCAGCGGCGGTGGGGGGGGGGGAGCTGATAAATGGCCTCAGGGGGCCGCAGTTTGGGGACACCTCCTCTAGACAATAATACAGTTAATACACTGAGCATTGATGGAGCCTATTTGGGAGAATTCTATGCCTATGTCAGTGAGTTTTTCTCCAAAATCTGCATTTAGATTCATGTAGGTGAACCATGAGGATGTGTCAAGTTTATAAAACAATATTTACACTGTGGTGGGTGATGTAGTTTGAGGGTATGAGGATATACTTGGTTAGGAAGGCTCTGGAGGCCACCAAGTGTTTCAAGTCTAGCCCTCAACTTTGAGTATTCTTGAAGTCCTCAGACATAGGAAGACTAACTCATAATAGTGAGTTGTAGAAAGCTCTTTACCAATTTATTGAATAGTTGTGGTGAGAGGGGGGTGAATGTTCCTTTCCAGTGAGTCTGTTCATGTTCTCCATCCATGGTTCCTACCTCTCTCATCAGGATATCTTGAAGTAACTTTTGTTTTTTTCTTTTTTGGTGAACTTGACCTTAGCGTAAAGAGCTAGGCTGTGGAGAAGTCCTGTGGTGTATCTATCATGTCATACAACAGAATACACCTTCCCAGTGTTATTCCCCCTTCCTGCAAATCTTAAAGAATTTATACGTTATTCTGTAGTTTTTCATCCTCGCAGAACTGTGCTACTACTAGTAGTTTCCCAGTTTGAAAAGCATAGTTCTAAGCAGGCTTGGAGACTTTTTGGTCTGCTAAATGAGATACAGCTTTTTACATATGAATCCTACCTCTCTGTAATTATATTCAGGTGACCTTAAGTGGAGTTTTAGATGACCCCAACCTTTTTGGAACACTTAGGATCTCTGTCTTCCTCTGACTAATAACTTACATGTAAGTTTTGGCTTAATATAAAAATGTAAGCTTTCTTTTCCTAATTTTTACTTCTAAGTTGAAGGCAGTTAGCTCACAGTCGCCTCTATATGTAGCTAACAGAAAATGAAATAGAAGTTGCTAGTGACAATTTTTCTGTTCTCTGTTACTCACAAAAGGTAAGATTTTTACCCAGCCATTTAGAATGAAACAAGGGTCATACTCCACAGGCTTTCCGGTAGCAAAGGCATGCATTTCACAACCCACTTCAAACACGGAACCACCGAAGCAAATAATGAGCATGGAAAAGACTTCCAACTTAAATGTAGTGGAGACCTCAAGGCTGAATCAGACTGAAAAATTAAACCAGGTGAGATAAGAATTTGAAGATATACAGTGTTTTTAAATTCAGTGGTGTTAGCACTTTGATCTCATGGAAAAGCTGACCTTTTAAAAACTGAAGTCATTCATGTATTTCAAATTTGACTAAGCATTTCCCATAATTCTGTAGATTAGTAAAAAGTGAGAAGTGAAGTGAAAGAAGAGTATAATTTTATCAACTCCATGGTTTCTACTATTGTCTGCAAATGACTCCCAAATCTCTATCTCTAGTTCTAGTTCCTCACCAAAGTTACAGAAGCATATTTGCAATTTACCTCATGAATATCTTCTGAATGGCTTTCCCTGAGCATAGTAATCCTGGTATTTTCTGTGACTGTAATTCTGAAGAACTTTGAATAAAAACTAGAATATAACCAATAAATGCCTGGCTAAATCACCATGTTAACAACTTAAGTTAGAGCTCAGAATGAGCACATGGAAATTAAGTTTAAAACAGAGTGCCTAACTTCTAATAATATCTTTAGTCACATAATTTACATATAGTAAAATGTGCTCATTTTAAATGTATAGTTTGAGTTTTGTTTAATAGATAGTTATACAATCACCATAAAAAAAATTTCCATCATCCCCAAAAAAGCTCCTTCATGCCACTTTTTAATTTCTTTTCCCAGCTGCAGCCACAGACAACCACTGCTTTCTATGATTTTGACTTTCCAAGAATTTCATATAAATGGAATCAAACAATATCTAATCTTCTGTGTTTGACTTCTTTAACTTAGTAGAATACTTCTGAGGTTCATCCAAGATGTACATATCAGCAGTTTGTTCTTTTTTCTTGTTTAATATTAGTCCATTATAAAGATATACCTAAATTTGTTATCCCTTCCCCATTAGATGATATTTGGGTTGTTCCTCTTTGGTCCTTAAATTATAAGGCCATCATCAATATTTTCATACATCTTGTATGGACCTAGTTCATTTCTCTTGTGTAAATATCTAGGAGTTGGATTACTGCATCATATACTAAGTGTATGTTGATAAGAAATCGCCACTGTTTTCCAAAGTGGCTGTATGACTTTCCTTTCCCATGAGATACGTAGGAGAGTTGTAGTTATTCCACTTCTTTGTTAACATTTGGAATTGTCAGTTTAAAAAAATATGAGCCATCTGAGTGGGTGTATAGTGCTGTCTCATGATTTTAAGTTGGAGATCATAATCTAATTATAATGTTGAGCATCTTTTCACATCCATGTCTGCCGTTTATATTTCCTTTTTGACCATATTTTATAAAAATATTGTCATTGTATTGGAAAAATTTACATATTCTGGTTGTAAGTCCTTCTTAGAGACATGTTACGCAAATATTTTCTCCTGGCCTATGTTTACTTCATTCTGTTAATTCTGTCTGTTGTGGAAAAGTCTTTAATTTTGATACAGTCTAACGTACTCATATATATATATATATTTTCTTAATTAGAGAGTCTTGCTCTGTTGCCCAGGCTGGAATGCAGTGGTGCAGTCTTTTGGCTCACTGCAACTTCTGCCTCCCGGGCTCAAGTGATTATCCTGCCTCAGCCTCCCAAGTAGCTGGGATTACAGGTGCCCACCCCCCTCCCCCAACCCTGACTGGCTAATTTTTGTATTTTTATTAGAGGCAGGGTTTCACCATCTTTGCTAGGCTGGTGTCAAATTCCTGACCTCAGATGATCCGCCCACCTCAGCCTCCCAAAGTGCTGGGATTACAGATGTGAGCCACCGCGCCCAGCTCATATTTTTCTTTTATTCTTGCCTACATAATAGATTCAAATCTGAAGTTACAAACATTTTCTCCTATGTTTTCTTTGAAGTTTTATGTTTCTAGTTCCTTTTTTTTTTTTTTTTTTTTTTTTTTTTTTTTTTTTTTTAAGACAGAGTCTTGCTTTGTGGCCAGGCTGGAGTGCAGTGGCATGACCTTGGCTCCCTGTAATTTCTGTCTCCCAGTTCAGGCGATTCCCCTGCCTCAGCCTCCCAAGTAGCTGGAACTACAGGCATGCATCACTACACCCAGCTAATTTTTTTTTATTGTATTTTTTTAAGTAGGGACTGTGTTTCACCATGTTGGCCAGGATTATCTCAATCTCCGGACCTCGTGATCCACCCATCTTGGCCCCCCAAAGTGCTGGGATTACAGGCATGACCCACTGTGCCCAGCCTGTTTTTGGTTCTTATATTTAAGTATAGTATCCATTTTAAGATAAATTTGCATAAGGTACCAGGTACAGATCAAAGTTTTCTGCATATAGACTGTTAATCCAGCACCACTTGTTGAAAAGAGACTTGTTTTCTACATTGAACTACCTTGTTTTGGCACCTCTAGTGAATCTGTTGGCCTCACACATGTAAGTTCTGAAACTCTATTCAGGTCCATTTTTCTGTGTGTGTGTGTGTGTGTGTGTGTGTGTGTGTGCTTTTGTCAATACCTTGCTATCTTTATTACTGTAGCTTTATAATATCTTAATCATATATAGTCATGTGTCAATGACAGGGTTACAATATGAGAAGTGCGTTGTTAGGTGATTTTACCATTGTATTATCATCATAGAACGCACTTAGACTAACCTAGATGGTATATAACCTACTACACAGCTAGACTATATGGTATAGCCTATTGGTCATGGGCTACAAACCTTTATAGCATGTTCCTGCACTGAATGCTATAGGCGCTTGTAACATAATGGGGTATTTGTGTGTGTAAACATAGAAAAAGTACAGAAAAAATGCAGTATTATAATCTTGTGAACCACCATCATCCAGGTGGTCTATCATTGACCACAAATCACAATGCAGCCCATGACTGTAGTTAAGTCTTACAACTTTATTAATTTTTCAAAAGTGCTTTGAATATTCTAGGTTTGCATTTGCAGATACATTTCATTTGTTACAAGTCAACTGTTTCTGATCGTGATATTTATTAGAATTAAATTGGATCTGTAGGTAAGTCGGGGGGGAGGGGGAAATGACATCTTAACAATATCTAGTCTGTTGATTCAAGAACATGGTATATCTTCATTTATTAGGTCTTTACATTCTGTCAGTGATGTTTTATAGTTTTCAATGCATAAAGTTTGCATATATTTTGTTAAACTTACCCTTTACACCTTTCATATTTTTATGCTATTGTAAATGGTATTTAAAATTTCTGTTCGTTGCTAGTAGAAAATCAATTGGATTTTTTTTTTTTTTTTGGTATGTTGAACTTGTATCCTGTGACCTTGAGTTGTGGTACTTGATGAATTCAGTTCTGTAATTCAAATCATTCTAGCAGCTATTTTGTAGGGTTTGGATTTTCTGTGTAGACCATCATGCCATCTGGGAGTAAAGACAGTTTTACTTCTTTTCAATCTATTTGCCTTTTTCCCAACCCTTACCACACAGTGTAGGCTCTCTAGTATTATACAGTATGTTAGAAATGTGAGAGTGGGCCAGGCACAGTGGCTCACGCCTGTAATCCCAGCAATTTGGGAGGCCGTGGCGGGTGGATCACGAGGTTAAGAGATCGAGACTTTCCTGGTCAACATGGTGAAATCCCGTCTCTACCAAAAATACAAAAAATTAGCTGGGCACAGTGGCGTGCACCTGTAGTCCCAGCTACTTGGGAGGCTGAGGCAGGAGAATTGCTTGAACCCTGGAGGCGGAGGTTGCGGTGAACCAAGATCGTGCCATTGCACTCCATTCTGGGTAACAAGAGCGAAACTCCATCTCAAAAAAGAAAAAAAAAAAAAGGAATGTGAGAGTGGAAAATCTTGACTTGTTCCTAATTATGTGGGGAAAATATTCAGTCTTTATAATTATAATATTAACTGTAGCTTTTTAGATGTCTTTTATCAGGTTGTGAGGACATTCCCTTCTATTCCTAGTTTCTGAGAATGTTTTTCATGAATGTATGTTGAATTTTGTTATACTCTTTCTCCATACATTGAAATTATTATAGGGTTTTTCTTTTTTTAAAATTACTTTTCTTGGTTTTATATCCAGCCACCCTTATATTGCTGGATGAATTCCATTTGGTCATATAGTATCCTTTTTATATGCTGCTACATTCAATTTGCCAATATTTTAAGGGTTTTGCATTTATGTTTATAAGATATATTCTGTAGTTTTCTTGTAATGCTTTTGTCTGGTTTTGGAATCATTTTAATACAGGCCTCATGTGAAATGAGTTGGGAAGTTTTTTTCTGTCTCTTTATTGTGAAAGAGTTTGTTTTTCTTAAATATTTTGTAGAATTTATTAGTGGACCAAATTGGACCTGGAGCATTCTTTGTGGAAAGGTTTTAAACAACAAATTCAGTTTCTTTAACAGATACAGGGCTATTTTGGATTTTCCACTTTTTAAAAAAAATGAGCCGTGGTACCTTGTCTTTCAAGGTGTTGTTTATTTTATCTAGGTTGTCAAATGTATTGAAATAAAGTTGTTAATAATGCTCCCCCAATAACATTTTAAGGTCTGTAGGATCTGATGATTGCTCCTTCTCTCTGTCTTTCCCACACACATACCAATCTTGCTAAAGATTTAGTCACTTATACACAGTTAGGCATCAGGTAATGACACTTTTGTTAACAGTGGACTGCATGTGCAACAGTAATTCCATAAAATTATAACAGAACTGAAAAATTCCTGCCACCTGGTGGTGATGTAGGTGTTGTAACACATAGTGCAATGCAACACTTGTATTTGTGGTGCCAGTCATATATATAGCACATACAATTATGTACAGTACTTAACAGTCAGTAATGACAATGAACAACCATGTTAAGGGTTTATGTTTTTACTGTACTGTACTTTGTGTCATTATTTTAGAGTGTGCTCTTTACTAAAAAATTTAATTGTGAAACAGCGTAAGGCAGTTCGTTCAGGAGGTATTCCAGAAGGAAGACATTGTTATCATAGGTGATGACAACTCCATGCATATTATTGTCCCTGAACACCTTACCATATGACAAGATAAATTTAGTGTAGCCTAAGTGTATGGTGTATATAAAGTCTACAG